CCCCTCCAACCGCCAGACTTCCCACACTCCCCACATCAGGGCCAGTCTCCTGGGCATGCCGGGGGTCCCCCCAGGTCTCTCCAGATGCACGCCCAGGCCTGGCTACTCTGGGAACATGACTGCTGACTTCCACATCTCCATCTGGCCAGATTCGTCCCTCACTCCGGCCAGGCTGACACACAAGGACAGGGCATGGACGTTGGTGGGGTCTGGGGACCATGATGGCTCACACTGCAGCGGGGCCGTGGGGACAGGCACCTCCCTCATGGGGAAAGATGGAACCGTTTGCCTTGCCTGGGCCTGGGCCGCACCATCTCCCACCCTACTGTGCGGCCCAGGCAGATGTAATGCCCCACATCACTGGCCCCGAAAGCGTGGGCAGGAAGGGAGCTCAGACCATGAAAACAGTTCAGAGGATTTGGGATGGACCTAGGCCTGATCTGTGCAAGGGGCGCTGGTGAGCGATTCTCACCGCTTCATCTAGTTTTGTGGGGGTGTGAGGGTGCGTGTGTGTGAGTGTGAGTGAGTGTGTGTGTGAGTGTGAGGGTGTGTGTGAGGGTGTGTGTGAGTGTGAGTGAGGGTGTGTGTGAGTGTGTGTGAGTGTGAGTGAGGGTGTGTGTGAGGGTATGTGTGTGAGTGAGGGTGTGTGTGAGTGTGAGGGTGTGTGTGAGTGTGTATGCAATGTGTTGAGGGTAGTGTTCAGTGTGTGTGGCTGGGGGCTGCTGTGTGCCTTCTGAGGCAGGGGATGAGATGTGAGATTTTGGGGGAGGGGGTTGTGCCAATTAAAATTTATGTGTGAGGTTTCGGTTTTCATGCTCCCTTCCCGGGCTGTGGTCTCACTGGGTCCCTCGCCCAGTTCCCTGGTGACCCATGATGGTAAGTCGAGTGAAGGACGAGCCTGGGAGTCGCTGTGGGAGATGGTGCAGCAGGGCCCCTTCCTTTCTCTGGATGGTTTAGGGACCCAAGTCCAAGCCAATCTGACTCAAGGTCCAAAGGGGAAGAGAAGGAAGGGGGGGGGGGCGTGCCAAATTCCTTTATTTTGCCAATTGTTTCTAAGCCAATTAATTTTTTAGTTTTTTTTTTAGCCAATTGATTTTTTTTTAGTAGTTTTTAGTAGTTTTTTAAAAAAAGGGAATTAGTGTTTTTGATGTTTTTGAACAAGTCAATTGAATTTTAAGTGGGGCTATATAGTGTATGTGAGATAACAATTTAGGGGTTTAAATTTTCAACTTTTAGTTGTGGATGTATAATTTGGGGGAAGGGTCTCCGTGGAAGATGTTTAAAGCCAATTGGTTTTGTTTTTTGAAGGTGGTGTCATTCCCTCAGCCCGGTGGAGGGGGGCTGAGGAGTCGCCTGATGTGGGGAGGCGGGGCATGGGGGCTGGGTGGGAGAAACCCTAGGGCAGAAATGGAACAGAGAGATCTGAATGGTGGGACGTGATGGAAATGTCCCTGGTCAAGAGGAGGTCACAGAGCTGATGGTACACACTGCAGAATTACAACAATTTGGCTCACTTCTGATTGCTGGACATCTCCGAAGAGGCACCCCCGTGGGCCGGATCTTTGGAGGACATGGCGATCAGGGGACGGTGACGCTTGGCCTCTCTGAACGCTTCCAGCTCCTTGGCTAGCATGCGACCCCGGCGGGCACGCAGGAGGGCAGGCAGGCCTCTGCGCAGGCGTTGGGCGGACTGTCTCCAGGTGTCATATTGGAAAAACTTGCCCACGGGGTATCTGGGGAAGTTGCCCTGAGGAGGAAGGGGCTGGTGGTGGGTGTCAGCTCCAAACTTGGCTCCCCCTGACCTATCCATGCCCCTGCCCCACCCCTGTCCCTTGCACCCCTGTCCCTTGGCTAAAAAGTCCCAGCTGCTAAAACAAATACCTAACGTCCTGTCCCTGTCTCTGGGTAAGCAGAGGTGCCAGGCTCACCGGAAGCACGGTCGTAGAGGTAGACACGTCCCTCTCGGACTTGGCGGGGGTGGCACAGTAGGTCTCCAGGAGGGCCAGGTCACAGCTGCGAAAGCAGCACTCCTCGACGATGCCACGGCTGCGGCGGTTCACACGGCTTGCGGGCCTGCCTGGAAGACCCACAGGACAAAGAGTGGAGGTTAACACCCATCAGGACCCCCCCCCCAGAGAAGGCCGCAGAAAGAGGCAGCCACCCCTGTCCTCAGGCTAGGCCCGGACATTCCATCACCCTGCGGGGAGGGGGGAGAAAAGCGAGAGTGGGCAGGAAGAAGAGCCCAGAAAGGAGAGAGAAAAGAGGCTGCTGCGGGACCAGCCCCTGGCCTCTGGTGCCTCCTGCCTCCTGTCTGAATCAGGCACAGCCCACGTGCAGGTGGTTTGAAAACGGGTGGGGTGTGAGCCCAGCGAGGGGCGCGGCCCCATAGGGTGCACATGAGTGTGGCCCCAGGTCTCGGGGCTCTGGCCAGGCTTGGCCTCAGAGCCTGGAGTCCCCCAAGCGCTGAGACCAGGAGGATCGGGCAGGAGAGAACAAGACGGGAGGGGAGGAGTGAGGAGCCGCATAACCGCTCTCTTCTCATCTCCCGTCTTCCCCCTCTCCCCCACGGCACTCAGGTACTCAGGTCCGAGGCTCGCTGGGAGTACGGGGTCGCTGGGGACTTCACCTTGGAGCGCCAAAGGGCAGGCGTCATCTGTGGGGGTAGGGACAGGGAGCCCCATCTCGGGGACCCACGAGGGGCTCGGCCCAGCTCTCTGCTTAGGAAAGCCCAGTGCAGGGAAGCAACTCCCAGAGCAAGGACCAAGGCCCCCCGCAGTGCCACATCCTGCCCCCCCAAGGAGGCAGGCGAGAGGGAGCGCAAGAGAGGGGCCAGGCAGCAGGGGCTTCAAGGGTATCCAGCAGCAGCAGCAGCAGCAGTGCCTTTCAGAGAGAAGCTTTGAAATGCAGGTACATTCTGTGAGCCCGTTTCACAAGTAGGTAAGTAGAGGCTGCAGAGGAAGAGACCACCTGGCCAGTGCCAGGGGTAGACAGGCAGTCCATGCTGGCAAGAGGAGTCACATTCCTGAGGCCCCTCCCCTCCAGCCCCACCCAAGTGTCCCCCAGTTCCCCAGGCTGGAAAATGAAGAGAGAGAAGCATGAGTGAGCAGTGGTCAAGCACCCCACAGTGCGGCCCTAGAGCCCCGTGTTTTCCCTACTCCCAAGCTGAGTACAAACAGCCCTGCCCCCAGCCACGTTTGCTTAATTCTTATTGATTTGAGATCTGTCAGATTTGACATCTGATCATCCACAAGCACATGGGCCCCGTTAAAATGGTGCAGGGAAAAAGGCAAGCGCCCCCATTCCCCGCCTGAGCCTGGACCCCCAGCCACCTCCCACTGTGGCTCAGTACCTGCTAGAGGGGCCAGAGTCAGGGCGGGGCCCCTCCACCTCAGGCCAGGGGGGCGGGGGCTCTATCCCAATGTCTGATTAAGTGCCTGCTGTGGACACCCCCCACCCGCCCCACCCCTTCGAGCTACTTACTGAAGTAAAAGCCGCGGTCCCCACAGACAAACTGGAGGGTATCCACCAGCTCCCCGCCACACAGGGTCTCACTGGGGCGGTAAGCAGCAATGCAGCACGAGGCGAAGGCCAAGAAGGTGAGAAGCACCAGCATCGACTTCCCCATTGGGATCCCCATTGGTATCTGCGGGAGAAACCACAGTGAGCGCCGGCCACACCCGGGGTCCAGGCCTCTCCCCCCCAGAGGTGCCCCCCCCCCTCCTTAAGCTGAAAGTCATTGAAATCCAAAAGCCCAGCTTTCTTGATGCCATTATTTTAATTTCAAAAGCAACACACATGCTTGAAGGGTTAGGCCGCCTGGAAAAGGGAGAGACTCTGGGAGCCACGCAAGCGCTCCACGGCTTTGAGTTGCAGGAAATGGCAGCAATTTTGTGTGGGGACCACCAGACCGTGGTCAGAATTGCAGGAGCTGAGCCACACCCACAGCCACAGGGGCTGTGCTGGACACTGGCCTCCCTCCTGGGACATCGTGGGGGTGGGGCCAACCCAAGGTCACGTCACCACTGCTCCCTTCCAAGGCCTGCCAAGATGGCAGATGGCTCCACCCCACTGTGGAGCATGTGCCTCCAAGAGGACTGACTGGTCCCTGTCTTCCCCACCCCCCAGCAGGACAGGGGGATCCAGGCGGACCATCCCTCCCTAGCCGCAGGCATGTCCTGCTGGGCTAGCCCCTCCTGCCCTCTCCCTTCCAGGCTGCACTAGCAAAGCTCAGGTCAAGGACCCAATGGTTAGAGCCACCATGCCGCCCACACTCAGAGAGCACTGCTCTCAGATCACACAGCCCAAATGCAGCCCGTCACGGGTGCCCCCAAACTCAGGAGAAAGCCAAAAATCCCCTTTCCAGGTCTCTACTCACACCACCCAGTGCCAGGGACCCGAGTCCCTCCAGAACCATCAGAGCATCTCCCGACTGGAATACAAACTCCACGGAGGGAGCTGGAGGGAGCGGGTCAGGCCACTTGGGAGGCCAGACACCAGGACCCTCCAGGCCCAACCTGGAAGGGGCGGCTCATGGCAGGACACACCCCCTCCAAGCCCAAGGCTTTGAGGGCAAGGGTTACTGGTGGGAGGCTGGGAAAACACGCCAGCTGCCCTTGCCCCTGCGGAAGGTGGAGCCCTCCAGGCCGGCAGCCCCAGCCTTCTCTCCGCAGGCCCAGGGGTTTCTTGATGCAATAAATCATATGCAGGACGGAGCGGGAAATAAGAAACCATCTCTTTAAGCTCCCTGAGGAGCACTAGCCAGTTCTGCAGGAAGATCTAAAAGTCACCTTGCCCACCTCTCCACAGGACCCCAGCCAGCCTCCCTCTACCGCCCCTTCTAAATTCTAGCAGCAAACAGTGGCTGGCCACCCGGCTGCAGTGAGTGGAGGGGCAGCTCCATCCTGCTGCCCGTGAAGACCCCTCCGCACACCCGACCACTCTAGATCCAGGTCCAGCCCAGGGTATCAGCAGAAAGCCAGGGACTGGCCAAGAGGCATGTGGAGGTGCTAGACAGGTGAGGGCCGGGGGGGAAAAAGCCCAAAAGTTGTTGGAGGAGAGAAGCAGAGGGGAAGGAAGGAAGAGAAAGGAGCAGGTGAGGAGGCAGGGAAACAGGTGGGAGCGCAGGGCAGAGGTTGGGGAGAGGAGAGCCTGTGAGAGCAGCAGGCCCGCTGCAGGGCCCAGGCCTGAGGCTGGGCAGTACCCTGGGCCGCCAAGCAGGCCGAGCAGGATGGCAGCAGGGCCTCTTCCACAGGCCTGTTACCTGCTTCTGGACAGGGCTCGCCGAAGCTGGAGGAGGAAGAGGAGGAGGCTGGAAGTCTCTCTCAGGAGAAGCTAATGTCCAGTTTGCAAGCTGGTCAGTGCCTCGGCTTTTATGTCTAAGTCGGCTCCGCCCAGCCCCGGCTCCACCCTATCCCACCCCCTCCCTGCTGACCACTCCCCCCGCCCCCTTTGCACCCGCCCCCTCCCTCCTTCCAGCCAGTCCCATTTCTCCTGCACCCCCCCCAACGCCAGCCCTGGTCCATCCCTCCTCAGAGTACCACGAGGGGGGCTCAGTTTGCACCCCCAGACCATTTCTGCACAGGGCAATGGGGGCGGGGGGGCTCCTTTCCACCTCCTTGTATGGAAACTTCCATGCTGCCCAAGGGTAGGACAAGTTACCCCTCTTTGAGCAGTACACCCCTGTCCTTCTGAGATTCAAACCGGCCCCTCTCCCCAGATTCTCCACTGGAAATGTTGGGGGCAGAGATAGGGGGTGTCGGGAGAATCTTTTGCAAATGTGGCGCCTGGCATGGCTGTTTTGCCAACTCGGCGCCCCTCCTGGCCCCACCCACCCAGTTTTCCTCTCAGTCTTGCTGGCACCAAGTCAACACGCCAGGGTGGGCTTCTGGGACGTTGCCCCCCTCCTCATTACCCAGCACCCTGAAGCAACAGGGTCCCGCACGGCACAAATAGCACATTTTCAGCAACCCCCTGGACCCACAGGCCAACCAGGAAGTCGCCTGAGCAGACGGCTCACACCTCCCCGGCGCAGCCCGATGCCCCTTCCCCCTCCCCCACTCAGCAGAGCGACGGAGAGCGAACGGGACCCCCGCCCCACCTCTGTCCCTGGCGGGCCATTCCCCGCCGAACCCCGCGGGAGGAAGGGCCAGGCGTCCCGCGCGCCCGCGCCTGCCCTCCCAGCCGCGGCCCGCGCTTACCTGGAAGCCGCGAAGCTGCCGCCCACCTCCCTGCTGCTTTAGCGCAAGCCGAACAGCGGGCGAAGGCCCTCCTGCCGGACACTCCTCTGCCAGCGCCGCTCTGGCCGAGTCGCTGGGGCCGAATGTGCGACGGGGCAGAACGGGGGGATGGCTTTTTTTGGGGGGGGGACTCTTCTGCTTCTTTAGGGAGGACGGGCTGTCTTCGGGCTGGGGCGGGCCAGATGTTGTACTTTCGGGGGGGAAAGGGTATCGGGAAATGAGGTCAGCTGTTGTACCAAGGATAGAGAGGGGCAGAGATAGTCAGAGAGACAGAGTGAACGTGAAAGGGGGGGGACCAGAGAGAGGGCGAGAGGGAGAGAGGACAGCGAGAGGCGGGCAGGCTCGCAGCGGGAGAGAACAGCACGGAGAGAAACAGAAAGCGTATAATTAATCCACTTTGGTAGGCGAAGGCAGAGGGCGGGCTTGAGGGGGGAGGGAGTTGGAGGCAAGGATCTGGGGGGGGGCGGGAGGGAGCCCGGGAAAGGTGGCGGTGGGAGAGCGGGGCCGCGCCAGGCGCGGAGAGAGAGCGGGGCGGAGAAGCCAAGGGAAGAGCGCAACGTCGAGGGCCGGGGACGGTGCTGAATGGGGCGGAGAGGAGGCGTCACCCAGGCCGCGGGCGCCCAGCTCGGTATGGGCCGACGGAGCCCTCG